TGCTTAAGAAAAGTCACTAGGAGAAAAGGGCCTCCCAAGCTTTCACAGAAAGCAACTTGGTCAAGCAATGACCATGACTAATCCAGATGGTTGAAACTGACTGAAGAACTAGAAGTGCTTATACATGGTTCCAAGGCAAATCCTGAGGAAACTTAACTGATCTTGATAAATAGCAAAAATTGATTAATACAGGCCTAACCTTAATTTGGTCTTGTATACACAGGAGAAAAGTATAACCAATTGCCAACTACACTAGTAACTAATCACTTTGAATTTAAAATCTTTGGACTGTGACTCTTGAGTCTAAATCAAGCAAGTTCATCTAGAATGAAAAGGATTCAAAAACAAAATTCTGTCTTCTACAGAATCCTCCAAACCTAGCTCCTCTTACTCTAACTGATTACCTCTTGTTTGTAACTACAGGAGACTGATCACATGTTTGGGGCCAGGACAAGGCCAGCCTCAAGAACAGAGTACCCGAGAAAAATCACATGAATAAGCTGTTCTAGTCTCAAGAACATTGGGTACCTGAGGCAAGTCACATGGATAAACTATTACATGGAGGGGATTCATGCTCCATTCAACCTCTTGGGCGTATAAACGCACTGCAGCCTTGGGACTCTCTTTCCTTCTCTTCCTTCCTTCCATCTTCTCCCATCAGGAGAGAGGGCTCCACCTGGCCTGAGTTTTCTGTATTCTGACCCTTGTCCTTTTTTCTCCATCCTCTCACCATCCTCACCCTGAGAACTTGGACAGCTGTGCAAGACACGGCACCTCGCTGCAGTTTTAAAGTCTGCACTACTGGTTGCAAAGGATGAAAAGTACACACTTGGAGAATAAGGACACACTGCCATTGTGAGTATATGCAGGGATGACATGAGAAATACTGAGAAAGACCACAGGGCAGGCTGGTTATACTACAGAGAAGTCTGGGCAGGCCACCACCTGACTGCAGCTGAGCTCGGCCTTCCTAGGGTGAGTCACGGGACCTGTCCAAGCCTGGTCCGGCCATGACGCAGGGAAAATGTTACTCAGAGGGAAAGCATGCGGTATGGAGGCGAGCGTGGACAGAAGTGTTTGAAACCTGCCATCCCCCCACTCCATGGCTGGAGGATTCAATGCCGAGAAAACTAACAGAACAGACCTGAGCCGGGATGAGTGACTGTAAAGTTGACATCAGGGGGTGTGTGCTGTGGGATTAGGCAACACAGAAGCCTGCCCCCTTAAACCTACTCATGTTACACACTTCATAATGGTTCCATTTCATCTTTGTAAAACCCTCTGAGGAGGCAAAACCAGCACTGGAGAAGCAGCTCAGTGGCAGACCGCATGTGCTTAGCATGGCCCAGAACATGGCCCCAAGGGCAGGCACCCAGGTACCCTGGCACCCTGAACAGCAGGAAAGCAGGGTGTTCCTTTTCCCTTTTGTAAGCAGGAAATGGATTTCCAGGGAATTAAATGAGTTGACCAAAGTGTCCTGCTCAGGTACTAGTCCATCCCAGATGCAGAGTCCAGTCAGCACACCACTTGACCCCTCTTGTAGGCCGGAACCAACAGTACCCTAATGTAGTTTTCCTGTATTGTGCATGTGTGTGCAGTAGGGGATTGAACCTAAGGCCTCATCTGACAGCACCCTTTGCTATTTTAAACAGACACAGACACATAGAAAAAGGCTACCCAGGAATGATTGGTCAGTTAAGTTCACTTAGTCTTAATCCAGAAAGGGTCAGAATGGACATTATTTCTGTAACAAGTTATACTCTACAATGACAAGCTAATTAAACATGCAATCCAGAGTTCAAGTGAAAACAAAATCTAGAGGTAAAGCTTGCAAGATCCAACCTCCAGGGTTAAAAGACAGATCTCCTCTGGGACTGCTTATGTCAGGAAAATCATCACTTTTCAATTATCAGAGTAAAGAACCATTTGGGCCAGAATCACTGATGGATGATAAATCTAGGGGAAACTTTTGATGAGGAATAGGATATTTGTATGGTCGTTAATAAGCTTCCCCATGGACTATTTATTTGCTGCAAAGAAAATTTAACTATACAACAGAAAAATCTGAGCGCTCAACAATGACCATTCCTAACGAGGGACAGATACCATGTGCGCCCAGATGAGAGGTGCTGAGGCTCCCTGATTCTACATGATCTTCCATCCTATAGTGCTTTATAGCTTGTGTCTAGCATCTCCCCAAAGCCTTATGCGGTCTTAGTACAGCTTTCTGGAGGTGGCTGGATCTAGAATGTGTGATGCTGGTGGTAATGGTGCCCTACCCTGGGTGTGAGTGAGTGGAATGGAATATAAGGGACAGAAAGAGGGCTACTACTGTCACTTGCTGTCACTGTTTTGCTACCTCACTGCTTTGCTGCCCTCTGCCATGAACTTGGAGCCAGTTAACAATGGACTGAAACCACTACAAACTGTGAGCTAAACAAACCTTTCCTCCTTCAACTGAGTGTTGGGTATTTTGCCTCAGCAAGGAGAAAAGTAATTAAGACAAGTGTATAACCTCAGTCTAACCATAAAGAAATACCAGACAATCCCAAAGAAGCAACATTATTAAAACAAAGGGGCTACCCGGCAAGAGCAAGGTTCTGAGTTCGATTCCTGGTACCAAAAAAATAAATAAATACAGTAAAATAAAGGGGCTAGCTATAGTTGTCAAATATGTCAGTGTCACAAAAGACAAAGCCATGGAAATGTTCCCATAAAACAAATCCAAATGCAAAACCTGATTTTTAGGGATCCTGTCCTAAAATTAGGGGAAATGCTATAAAGATTTTTGCATAGTTTTATAAAATTAGATATGAATCAAAGCATATATATCATTAAATGTACTGATGTTTGTAACTGGTCTGTATTTATGTTAAGAGAAGATCTCTATTCTTGGGGCTGGGGATTTAGCTCAGCAGCACAGCGCCTGCCTGGCAAGTGCAAGGTCGTGAGTTCGATTCCCGGTACCAGAGGAAAAAAAAAATTGGGGAGGGAAGGAGAAAGGAAGAGAGTGAAAGAGGGAGGGCGAAAGGGCAAAAGGGCACACAAGCTCACACCACACCCAACAGGAAAGCTAGAGGGATTACATGCTAACAACTGGCGCATCTGAGTACAGGGAACAGGGTGTTCTCTGTGGTACTCTTCCACTTGTAACATTCTTGGAAGTTTGAAATTATCTCCAAGTAAAGTGAGAAATAATATCCGCAAAATTATTTTATGCTTTTAGAAGTTGGACAGAAGGCTATCATGCCTTTCCTCATGATAGGTCACCCTGTGCCCTCCAGGGGTGTTGTCTTGCTTTTTCCTCTTTTACTCCGCCCAAGTTTGCTCTGCAGAGCCAGTTTCTCCCTCACTTCTTCACTTGCACTTTTTCAAATAAATTTTGCTACCAGGAAATTTAAAAAAAGCTGGGTGGAACAAATGGTTATCATTGAGGCAGGGTAGTAACCATGAAGGGACCAGGCTCTGGCAAGTTAATAATGACTTTTTTTTTAATTTATAGAAGCTTTATGCGTAATTGCCAAAACCTGGAAACCACCAAAAGGTCTTTCAACAGATGAATGGATAAATAAACCATGACACATCCATAATGGAATATAGTTCCATGGTAAAAAAAACCAATGAGCTATCAAGGCACAAAAAGGTATGTTTAAGGACAGTTTTTATTTATAAAGAAAACAACAATCTCAGTTTATTTACTGAGATATTTTTTAAAAAGTCAGCATAGGGCTGAGAGTACAGCTCAGTGGCAGTGTGCTTGCCCAGCGTGCACAAGACCCTGGCTTCAATCCCCAGCACCACAAAAAAATCAAGCAGTACTCATTCAGTATTACTATGTGCCTCCTACTCCCTGCAATATGTACCCCTTTGAATGAAAAGACTGAGTTAGTTTGTTAAACGCTATCTGGCATTACCCATAATAAGAACAACTGAAGTTCCCCGAAGTCATTAGGCTGAAGGCGTTATCCGTTATCAAAATATCTCCCTAATATTTCAAGTACACTGGAAATCCTTACTGCTGTTTCCATACTTAGGATGTACTTAAGTCTGGTAACATGGGTGATACAGCTTCTCATTGCACTTTATTAAACTAAGAGTTTCTTGCAAGTTCCTATTCAGCAAACTAAAGAATTATCTTTGCATAATATAGCTTGGGAAATAACATGATATGTTTGAGGGGTTATTTTGTTTTGTTTTATTTTGTTTTGAGACAGGGCCTCACTATGTAGAACAGGCTGGCCTTGAACTTGCTTATGTAGCCCACTCCTCCTGCTTCAGCCTCCCAAACACTGAGATTTACAGGTATGCACTGCCATGCCTGGCCATGTTTGAGATTTTTATATTTTATATATCAGTTAAAAAAATTTGGCTGGGTGTGGTAGTACACCTCTATAATCCCAGGATTCGAGAAGGCTGAGGCAAGACGACCAAAGTTCAACCATAGGCTAGGCAATTTAGCACTTTGGCAAGACCCTGTCTCAAATAACGAAAGTAATTTAAAAGAGCTGCTTCATACGAAGGCCCTGTATATAATCCCCTGTACTTCGACAAAGATAAAGAAGCCTCAAGAAACAGAAAAAAGAATATAAACTGATTCTAATGGTTTGAAATAGGGCCAGGGATTTAGCTCGGTGGTGCAGCACCTGCCTGGCAAGCACGAGGTTCTGAGTTCGATTACTGGTACAAAAAAAAAAACCTGTTTGAAATAAGAAATGAAAACATAAAATTGCCAGTTTACATAACTAAGAAAGCAAGATTTTAACTTAAGTACAATAGCTCAGTGGTAGAGTACATGCTTAGTTAGCATTGCAAGGAAACAAAGAAATTAATCAATTAATTATTAACAAATCTTAGCCAGTTCTCTAAATTTAAGTTGCTCTGAAAACTGTGTAGTTATGTGTAACCTACTCATTACCTTTAGTGGTGACACACTAATCTAAGAAATACAGTAGTTAATGCTTTAAAAATAATTTTTAAAGATATTATTCTGGAAGTCTTACCATGAGCTGTGTAGTTTGTACAGTTAACTGGTTCTTGTGTAGCATCATTTATTTTTGGATCTTTACAAATATATGTTAAAAAAGTTAAGGAAACACGAACTCATTCCCAACATAAAACATTGTTACGTCTTTAATAGCAAATACACTCATATTGTGAGAGGCTGGTAATTCAGCTAAGTCAACAAGCACAGATACAAACGGACTTTTAGCTCTGCTAAATAATTCCCGAAAATTAACATTATGGGAGAGGAGCAGAGACTACATTATATATAGTTTTTGTTTGGGGGATTTGTTTTGTTTTGAGGCAGGGTTTCACTCTGTGGTCCAGGCTGGCCTTGAACTTGCTTATGTAGCCCAGGCTGGCCTCAAACTCACAGCAATCCTCGGCCTCCCAAATGTTGGGATTATAGGCGTGCATTACCACACCCGGCTGGAGACTAAACTGTATTAAAAGTTTAGCAGAGGGGCTATCTTTAAAGGACATCAGTCAGGGTGTAAGCACCAAGCAACATTAAAATAAAAGTTATCACCAAATTATTATATGAGGATTTCAGATTAAAATCAAGCCTGCTCCCAGAGATTTGGATTCAGACTTCATTCCATTTGACACAAATGTGTGGGATAGACCTATTACACCCACATCACAGCAGCACAAACTGAGGCTCAAGGTTACCCCTAAACATCTAGAGACAGCCCGATCCTGTTTAAGATTTCTGAATCCTTCTCAGAAACTGTGTTATGCTGGGAATAAAGGATCTCGTTCAGCGGGCCTGACCTCACACCCTGCAAGTTACATCACTTCTCTCCAGCCTTCAACTCCTCGTGCTGCCCAGTTATGTTCTTTCCTACTCTTCTAAGAGGACTCGTCCTAGCCTGATTCTCAGCCCCCAAGCGTCACTGAAACAGGAGGTAGCAGGCAAAGCTGGCTGGAGCAGCGGGCGGGGCCTGTCCACTGCAGGAGCCCAGGGCCACAGGCCCCTCTCACCATCCCCGCAGCCCAGGCCGGGCCTAGAACCAGGGTGTACTTCCTCATTTTTCCTCTTTCGTTCGGCCCAAATTGACACTGCAGAGCTAGCTGTTCCCTGGCCGCTTCATCCCTCACTTCTCACACAAACTTTTGGCCGTTTTTGGCTTTTGTTGGTACCGGGAATCGAACTCATGACCTCAGGCTTGCCAAGCAAGCGTTATGCCGCTCAGCTACATCCCCGGGCCAGTTTTCGGCTTGATTCGTCCAATTCTTCGTTCGAGGCACGAAGGACCTGAAGTACTTTTAACTGGCGAGCCATCTTAAAGGAACTACTCAATACCATATGGAGCAAGTTACAGCCACGATGTGAAAACCGAGTAACGGCTAACGCTGCCCAGATGTCACGACAAAAGGCAGGACTGGCTCGACTTTCGGATTTTCGCCTCACAGAACGCTGCCTGCACAGGCTGAGTCCCTTACACGAGCCACCGCTCATGAAGTTTCCGCTCTGGGGGTTTCGGGGTTCCGGGCGAGTGACGTTCAGCCAGCGCCCGTAGCTTGTTACTCTTGGAAATCCGGGCGGCGCAGGGCTCATTTCGCACAAAATCAGCCTTCCCCCGACCCCCCGATCCCCCGCGCGCCCGGTTCCCGCTCGGGGCCCCGCCGGGCCTGGCTCCACGGGCTCCACGGGCTCCGCGCGGGCCACGCCG